AAGTAGAAAATGCATCTTTCCTTTTTCGGCTGGAGAGAAAGCATGGTTGATAGCCTGAAATGGGCTTTGGTCACCAGGCAAAGATAATGATGATTACTAAGTAGGTTACCTTTGAGCCTGTACTACTCACCACAGAACCAGACTCTGAATAGATGGTATTCACTAACTGGAACCAAAAAGCAGATTAGCCTATAAAATGAAAACCACCCAAAGGCAATTCTCTGCCAGTACTGCTCTTTTATCACACTTTCTGCTCATTTCCATTCAAATCCTGTTCAAGTACCTTAATTGAATGCACATGTCAAGCATCCATTAGACCTCTTCAATTATTCTTTATGGAGTGCAACATTGAAAAGGATCCCAGCATATTCAACATTTGAGCCAGCCAATCAACCATGACTGAGAGATATACCAAATGCCATATGTTCAAATAGATATTTAGCTGCTTGCTTTTTTTATTTCTTTGGTGGACCATTAGGAGAGGGAATTTGAACGTAGGAGCTCTTTTTAGTAGAGAGGTGCTTCATGAGATAGCTTGACATGTTTACAAGTTAGCACATGAGATTCTCCCCTTCTTCAACACTCTATTCTCGATTTCACCCACTTATATCATTCAGCATTAGGTTTTACTCAATCTCTATTTCCATCTGGAAAAGTATCATATTAAGAGGGAACTAGAATTTAAAAGCTTTAAACTGCACCAAGAAATATATATAGTGTGATTGAAATCATAGCCATGCATATGGCCAATATTATCACTCAATGTATACTTATTGCAACATGGCAATTTTGGACTGATGCAAGTTAGAATTAAAGACTGCACACTTATCTTTAGCATATTACTGATGGCACTCAGGCTCTAGCCTAAGCAAACAGGTGGATGATGAGTTACCACAAGCAACTTTAAAATTTTAACTTAACTCTTAACCACTTAATCAATTAACATGTTGAAAATTGTTGGACTAAACAAATCCAACTATGCATGGTTATGCAAAAGACAGAATTTGAATACCAGTCAAACAATCAATCCAACTAAGTTACACTAGCACAAGGTTGTAACTATGTAGTTCCATGAGCAAATGCTTCTCGTTTTTCCTATTCAGTATCCCATTTCAAATGATGAACTAATATTCTTCTGAAAATGTTTAAGCAGCTCCATTGCTGACCGGTGTATCGAACATTTTTGGATGGGGAACTTAATCCAAATTGGGAATAGATAGATGAGATATCCCAAATTTAAAAAACACAGCATGAAATTTCCACAAACTGGCAAAACAACGAATTGAGTTATTCAGAAACCACCAACAAACCATCAATCAAATAGTCACCACCCTAATCATATGATGTGTGATACACACTGTCATATGATACATCCCTTCAGAGGTCACGCTGCCAGTGGAACTTAAAAAGGAATGGATGTCCTCAAACGATAAACTATTAGGGGTGGCAGTTAAGTTGTGCTAGTCCAATGAAACTTATTTATGTTTAATTCATCATGTAAAATCACTTGATACTAACCCAATCTGTATATTAATTGTGTCATGTTTGTGTTAATACACATATCTATTGAACTAGAAACTCAAAATATAAGCTCTAATTTTAAACCAAACTCATCACTTGTACACATCCATAAATAAAAACCTACTCAATCTAGATGCTAACAAAGGAAGGACAAAAGAAGTATAACTGTATAATTCTACAATTATTTCAAAAAATACAAGATAATGAAGTGAAGAAAAGGGTGAAATGCATTTTCTACATACAAGACTAGTTAAACACAGTTATCGTGTCAAACTCAGGCTATTCATACTTAGCTCGCATCATTATTGTCTTCGTACTGAGCAATAGTCAATCCTAACCCACTGATTTCGTGTTGGGTTCACATCGTGTCGTGCTCAAACACTATTTTCAATTTCCAAAAGAAGTTAATTTTATTCCAATACTGCATTTCCGTTGCCTAATGTTCTTTACTTTCCAATTAAAAAGGCCAATGCTCAAAAACCAGTCCAAGTATTTGCCTCTTCATATCATAAGGTAGTTCTTTGAAAAATCATGTGCACTACAACAAACAGAAAACCACCATAGCAAACTTATCAATTACCGGAAAAAGAATGTTACCTCAGCAATGGGCTCCTTCAAAGCCTTGCGGGTAACCCGAAACCTTATCCCCAACTTCTCAAGCTGCCTCGACAAAACCCGAATGATTGTGGCCGAGCTCCTCAAATCTTCCTCCAGCTTCTCAATTCTCTCAAACAAATTCACCTCCAGCCCACCCTTCACTGACTCCCTACATATCCGCCTCCACTGCCGCATCCGAATCCACGCCCCAATTCCGACCGCCATTACCAAAGCCACAGCCCCAGACGCCAAAACGTTGTTCCCCATTGCCACTAAAGCCGTCTTCTTTAAGCTCAAAACAGCGCAATTCAATGCAAAACCAACCGAAACGAGTGCCGACGATGCAAGGCACAAGAACTCGGCAACCGAAAGAAAATAGTCCAAATTGAAAGCACCGTTGACGACGTCGTTTGACTGTAGAGTGCCATCGGATTCGTATACTCTGAGACGAGAGTGATGGGAGCTGAGGGAGGTTGAATTGTGAGGGTTTGGAAGGCTGTGGTTTGAGATTGGGAAATGTGGGCGAGAGGTGATTGGGAGAGAGAGAAGGGCGGGGGTTTTGGGAAGAGAGGTGGTGATGTAAAGGGTGAAACGAGGAGGTGAATTTATGAATAGCTGATGACAAGTGGGTGACATTGTTTGAAGGATGAAGCGTGTGTGGGTCTCTGTGTTTGGTTGGGTTCAGTTAGGGTTTTGGTTTTGGTCCATTTGATGGTTTCAGAGAAGAGAGAGGAGAGAGATGGGGACAAAGGATTGGCGATGGATTCGATAATTGGCGCGCGGGGAGTGTGTGATTAGCAAACACGAAGGAAGCAACACGAAAATGGTTTTGGACTCTACGCTTATTTTCTATTTGTAACAAAATATCGGCAAGAAGTTATAGTATGTCGGATTTACTATTTTGATCCTAGTTTTAATTTTGTTAATTTTATTTTTTTAGTTTTAAATTTGAGTAATTCAACAATACGTTATAAATTTTGTCAAATTTCTTCCAATTTGGTTACAAATTCTGTCAAATTTCGTGCTCAAAATATAACATGAATCAAATTGTAATATATCCTTGAATTGCTCGATTTTTAAAAGTACATGGATAAAATTGACAAAATTAAAACTCCAAGAATCAAATTGACAAAATTAATACTACGATGACCAAAGTGATATAACCAACTACAGGAACTAAAAGTGATTACACGTAAAACATCAACTCAATCAACAGCATTTGTGGAGGATGCGATCTAATTGGGTTTGAGTTAGATCTTGAATTGCATATCAATTTAAAGTAACATTACAGTCCTCTAATTAGTATAATAACATAATCGAACCTCTTTTTTTTTTTTTTTTTTTTTGCTATATATGGGAAGGAGTTTCATCGATAGCCGTTTAATTACAAAGATTTGCAGTACAATAAACTCCTTAAAACATGAGGGTTCCAGCCAAACTCAACACACACAAGAAGCACAAAGTTAAAAAAACAGTGAGCCAAAGAAACACAATAGATGCAGCTTACTAGAAGCCCAAACAAGGAGAAATGCATGGTAATTTAAATAAGAATTATCAGTGTCAAAGCAGAACCCATCAATCAGACAAGGCACCTCCAGCTTGAGAGGGAGATAGTACCACTAAGAGAACAAGCATGGCCATTCAAGGGTCGTTTAGTATGGTGGACTATCGTGAACTAGACTAAATCTTAGGATTGTCTCGGATTAGATCGAATTGGCCTAAACTGGAATAAGTACTGACCTACATTTGGTGCTGCGTCGAATTACGAGGCTGGATTGTAAAAATAGTGAAGACCTATGTTTAGTGCTGTGTCGGACTAAAAAATAATAATTTTTAAATAATTAAATGTAAGTTTTTTTGTTATTAGAATTACCAAATTGACATGTACATTTCTTTTCCTCCAAACCAAGTTAACATGTACATTCACTACTACAAAAAGTGAAAAAGACGACCAGAAAAACACGACGGTCTAAGTGAAAACCGTCGTTGTTTTTTAAAAGACGACGGTTTTATA